TTTATTAAAATATAGCTAACACATTATTATATGAGTTTCAGGTGTATACCATAGTTATTCAACATTTATATACCTAAAGGAATGATCACCATGATAAGTCCAGAAAGCACCTGACACCGTACAATGCTATCACAATGTTATTGACTACATATCTTATGCTGTATATTATATCCCCAAGGCTTATTTGTTTTATGCCTGAAAATTTGAAACTTTTATTCCCCTTCACCTTTTTTCCTCCTTGTTAAAATTTTCAAGTAGAGTTGACATTCAATATTATTTTATATTCATTTCAGGCATACAGCATATTGGTTAGACATTTATATAATTTAAGAAGTGATCCCCCTGACTAGTCTAGTACTCACCTTGCACCATACATAGTTATTACCATATTATAGATCATATTCCCTATGCTTTACTTTACATCCCCGCGATTATTTTATAACTACTAATTTATATTTCTTAGTCTCTTCACCTTTCTCACACTGCCCCCCATCCTCTTCCCATCTATCATCCCGATAAACCTAATACACATTTGTCACTATACACAGTTATTACAATATTATTGACTCTATTCCTTATGCTATACTCTACATCCTTATGACTACTGTGTAACAACCAGTTGGTACTTCTTAATCCCTTTCCCTTTTCACTTACCCCTGATCCCCCTCCCATCGGGCAACCATCAAAATGTTCTCTGTATTTTGTTTATTTACTTTATTCTTTAGATTCCACTTTTATAAGTGAAATCACATGTCATTTGTGTTTCTCTGACTTACTACACTCAGCAGAATACCCTCTCGGTCCATCCATGTTGTTGCAGGTGGCAAGATTTCTTTCTTTTTTATGTCTGAGTAATACTCTATTGTATATATGTACCCCCTCTTCTTTATCCAGTCATCCATTAGGGGACACTCAGGTTGCCTTCATATCTTGGCCATTGTAAATAATACTATAATGAACATATGGATGCACACATCCCCTTGAAGTAGCATTTTGGGTTTATTCTGATAAATACCCAGAAGGGGAATTATGGTGTCCTTCTTTGTCTCTTGTTATAGCCTTTGTTTTAAAGTCTATTTTGTCTAGTATAAATATTGCTACCCCAGGTTTTTGTTGTTGTTTCCATTTTCTTGAAATCTCTCTCTCTATCCCTTTACTTTTAGTCTATGTGTCTTTAGATCTGAAGTGAGTCTCTTGTAGGCAGCATATGTACGGCTCTTGCTTCTTATTGATTCAGCCCACCTATATCTTTTGACTGGATCATTTAATCCATTTACATTGAAAATAATTGTTGATAGATATGTAGTTATTGACATTTTATTATTCATATTTTTGATCTTGTTTTTTGTTTGTTTGTTTGTTTTTGGTTTTGAAGGAGTCCCTCTAAGATTTTTTTAATAATACTGGTTTGGTGGTGGTGAACTCCTTTAGCTTTTTAGTCTGGGAAGCTCTTTATCTGTCCTTCTATATCTAAATGACAGCTTTGCTGGGTAGAATAACCTTGGTTATAGGTCCTTACTTCTCATCACTTTCAATATTTTTTGCCAATCCCTTCTGGCCTGCACAGTTTCTGTTGAGAAATCAACTGACACTCTTATGGGAGTTTCCTTGTAGGCAACTAACTGCTTTTCTCTTGGGGCTTTTAAGGTTCTTTCTTTGTCTTTAGCCTTAGGCATTTTAGGCATGTGGGCCTCTTTGGGTTCATCTTGTTTGGGACTCTCTGCTTCCTGGGCTTGAATATCCATTTCCTTCACCAGGTTAGGGAAGTTTTCTGTCATTATTTCTTCAAATATATTCAGTTCCTTGTTCTCTTTCTTCTCCTGGTACCCCTATGATATGAATGTTGGTGTGCTTGATGTTGTCCCAGAGGCCCCTTAAACTGTCCTCATTTTTTGGGATTTTTTTTGTTGTTGTTGCTGTTGTTGCTATTCTGATTGGTGTTTTCTGCTATCTTATCTTCTAAATTGCTAATTTGACCATCTGCTTCATCTAAACTACTGTTGATTCCTTCTAATGTATTCTTCATTTCAGTTATTGTATTCTTTATTCCCGACTGGTTCTTTGTTATGTTTTTTTATTCCCATTTTTTAGTTTGTTATCTCTTTGTTGAAGTTCTCCCTGAGATCATTGGGCATCCTTAGAACCAGTGTTTGTAACTCTGCATCTGGTAGATCATCTGTCTCCATTTTCTTTAGTTCTTTTTCTGGAGCTTTCTTCTGTTCTTTCATTTGGGGCATTTGTCTCCCCATTTTGGCTGCCTCCCTGTGTTCATTCCTATGTATTAGGTAGGGCTGCTAAGCCTCCTGGTCTTAGCAGAGTGACCTTATGTAGTAGGTGTGTTATGGGGCCCAGTGGTGCAGTCTTCCTGGTCACTAGAGCTGAGTACTCCAGATGTGTCCCTTTTGTGTGTTGTGTGTGGCCTCCTGTTGTGGTTGAGCCTTGGTTGCTGTTTGCATGACAGTGGGAAGGATTGGCCCTTGGGCTGATTGGTTGTTAGGACTGGCTGTAGCTACAGTGGAGGAACTGTGGTGTAGGGGCTGACCCTACAAAATGGAATTTACTTTAATAGGGCTCTGGTGCCTGCCCAGTTTGCCCTTTGGGTGTTTTTATTTTTGGAGGTGGCTGGATGATGCTCTGACTTGGTCCAAAGCTGGCTACTGGGCATACCAGCCTTGGGGCATCCTGGGAAGGGACTCACTGCAGGCCAATTTCAGCCGCAACCTGTGCACTACCTGGGTTTATGAGCTATAAAGCAGTCTGTGGATGGCTGTCTTGTGCACTGTGCTTGGAGGTGCCTCAGGAGGCCAAGCCATGAACAAGGCTGGCTGTCGCTAGTGCTGGCTTTAGGGCTGCTCAACCAGAGGTATAACACACACAGAAGCCAGAGGCTGACCTAAGGGAGATTTTAGGAAAGTTTGCAGCATGAACCAAGGCAGGCCATTTGTATGGAAAACTCACTGGAAGCAGCTTGGGCATGCCCGAAAGATGGGTGGGGTCTCAGAATCACCAGGGTGGGGTGACAAATGGTGTTAGTCAGGTTGATGGAGACTCAGAATGGTCTGCACATCAGGAGGAAGGGTTCAAAAAAGAAACAAAGGTTTTCACAGCTTCTCAGTCCTGGAGAAAGCTGCACTTTCAGCCCTCACCTTGAAGCCAGACAACTTAGTTACTGACCATGTATCCTTGACACCTTTCTAGCTGCTGGCACAGCACTGGAGCTCAGAGTAAGTGAGTCCATCAATGAGTAAGTCTGTGCATGGGCCCTTCAAGAGGAGCGCCTGGAACTGCAGCCGCCCTCCACCTCACTCAGCCACAATCTCCACTGGCTTTCACAACCAAAAGTTATGTGCACTTCTCTCCCTGGCACTTGAACCCTGGGCTGGGGAGCCTGGTGTGGGGCTGGGACCGTTTGCTCCTCGGGGGGAACTCTGTATCTGAGATATCCCTCCTGATTTTTAACTGCCACATGCAGGTGTGGGGGCAGCCCTATCTGTGTCTCCATCCATTCTACCAGTCTCACTGTGGCTTCTTCTCTATGTCCTTAGTTGTAGGGCTTTGGTTCAGCTAGACTTCTGGTGGTTCTCCATGGTGGTTGTTCTGTAGTTTAGTTGTAATTTTGATGTGGTTGTGAGAGGATGCAAACACAATGTTTACCTATACTGTCATCTTCACTGGAAACCCTCTGACCACTTTATTATAGGATGGAGGAGTCTAGTCCGGTGCTTTTGCACACCACTTACAGGAGGGAGATAGATTTAATAGCTCATTCAGGTTAAAGTGATTATTTATATGGGATGCTTTAATTATTTGGGTAATATTGAGAAGATTCTGCATAAAACACAAATATTGTAACCCCTTTAAAAATACATTAAAATAATGAAAGTATGTTTTAACATTTTAAATATTCTCACACTATAAAATGAATTTATTATACAATAATATTTCTATGTTACAGAAAATTTGGATATTAGAGCAAAATAGTATCTGTCAAAGTTGTTTGATTGAAAATAAAAACAACAACTTTCTTTTAAAAAGGACAAATACCATATGATTTCACTTATATGTGGAATTTAAAAACAAAACAAATGAACAAACAAAATGAAGCAAATGCATAGATACAGAGAACAAACTGATGGTGGCCAGAGTGGGAGGGGATGGTGATTTGGGCAGAAAAGGGGGTAGCTCTCAGAAATGAAGGAAAGTATGGAAAATTAGATGTAGAAATGATAGCAATCAGGGCATTTTAGAGGGCCTTGCCAGGAAGGAGGGGTGTCTCAGAAACAGGAAATCTTTTTAAGCTCATTAAGGCACCAGCAGCACCAAGAATTACTGAGATCTAAACATGTCCAGTCTTCTCTTTCCTTTTGCTCCAGACTTCCTTTTGAAGTCTGAGTCCATGACTCAGGCTATGGTAGGATAGGACACCATGACTGACAGTCCCACTCAACTCTGTTCAACGGAGCGGAGCAATTCCTTGAGGAAATTAGAGTCCATTATCAAAAGAAAAGTATAATGGATGTTGGTCAGTTAAAATATTACAAATGCCATGATGGTAACCATAATTGCACTTCCTTTTACCATCATTCTTATAATTTTGGCACATTTTCTTCTATTTCTATTTCCTGTTCACTTGTTGCCCAATTTTTTAAAATTTAATTTTTATATACTGCTTTTATTTGATGCTAAACAGTTTAAATGGTGACCTTATGACTTATTTAACCAGTCCAAAATTGCTGGACATTTGGGTTATTGTTATTAAAAATATAAATAAAGCAGCAGTCAATAGAAATAACTAACTTAAGCTGGCTTGATAATATAGTGCTTCGGCTCCTGGGTGGATGATATACTCTACTGTGCTTCTAGAAGAGAGGGCAAGATAAAATAAGCCAAAATTCCAGCAGAAGTATATAAATGAAGAGGATTTCATCAGATACTGGAACTGTGAAAAGGAGGTGAAACTTACCTTCCCAGGAACTGATAATCTTCTCTTTGGCCATTAGGAGGCAAGCTGATTTTCATGGATCCAGGACCCATCAAGCTTAGGGCACACTCCATCCTTGTTTCTGATGGGGGAGAGCTCTGGATTGGATCTGAGGACAAGCCCTTCCAAGGCAAAGCTGAGATCACACTCTATGGGAGTTCCTACTCTACCCCCTTTTTTCCATATGGTGTCAAGTTCCTGGCAGTGAGGAATGGAACTCTTTCCCTGCATGGTAAGTGGGGCAACTGACCAGAGAAGATGAGGTAGGGCTATGTCTAGCCAATGTGCGGGCAGTGGGGAAAATGATAAAACTACTTAAAAATCTCTGGCTAATAGTTGCTGAGGCAACAATGTTAGGTAGAGTGTGGGCACTATTTCCTTAAGTAAGCAACATTAATTGTTATGATTTCTGTGGCAAGTACGCTATAGTTCACAGTTATTTGCTCCCCTTCCTGTAGGAGGATTATACACCTCTGTCCACTTTCAGGTGGCTTTTAGTGCCCGCCTGTGGGTGCACCACACTTCCCTGTCCTACTGAGAGTGGGCTTAGTCATGAACTTGCTTTCGTCAGTAGAATGCAAGTAGAAATGATACGTTGCATGGCCAGTAGAAGTTTTAAGAGCCATTGCAATGCTTTGGCCTTTTTCTCTCTGTTTGAGAATAGCCTGTCCCAGACAGGGGCAGCTCCCTCAGCTTGGGAACCCAAATAATGATAACTGGGGCACAGCTGCAGCTGACCTATTGCTCTCCTGTGTGTCAGTGAGGAATAAGCACTGGTTGTCACAAGCCACTGAGATTCGGGTTTGTAATTGCAGCATATCGTGGTAAAAACCAACTGATAAATTACTTAGCATATACTGATGGCTGTAAACACTGATGGCATCACAAACCAAATAGAGACAACTTCATTTTGTTGTTGGGGCTGTATTCGCCTCCTGTGAATAGGGTTCATTTAGAGCTCCTCTTAGATTCCTGGTTCAGACAGGTCGGGTGTTTATGGATTTTTGGATGAAAACAGGGACTAGGCTATAATGTGTTTCTGCTCAAATTTTATTTACCTTCTGACTATCTAATCCCACTTTCAAAAATGGATATTTTATTTTCCTTGAGATTCAGAAAATTACTAATTGTGCCAGGAAAATCCTTAATATCAACTGGAAAAGGTAACTATAAAATGGTGAGCTGTAAGTATATGTCAGTGGATACTTACATACTGTGGGTTACATAGCATAAGCCAAAAACAGATCAAAGATACTGTTTGCAAGTAGTGGCCCAATCTCCAGAAAACATCGCCTTGTCTACATTGGCATTTCTATATTGGCATAACAAGATAAAATCCCACTACTTATCAAAGAATAATAATTCTAGACATGAGCATGTGGCTATGCTGAGGAGTCTGCCATTTTGTTCCATCAGGTCTGTGTCTGTTACAAACTCTGGGCCTCAATCATTGTCTACTAAGAGGCACTCTTTGCCTCTGTTGGCTTCCTTTGAGAGGAAGCAAGATATTTTTGTTAAGTTTTAAGTGTTAACTATGGACTATCCAAAGTGCTAGGCACTATGGGTACATTTTATAAGGTTAAAAAAACCCACAATTACCTGGACAAAAATTCAAAATGCTTACAATGTTCTTATGTTCTGCTTCTAAGGAGGGCTTTTTTCTCCTATCTTCATCAGCAAGCATTTGCATTAATCTTATAGCCCACAATCCACAGGGGTCATCTATCTATTCACACATCAGTCAGTCTTCAAATGTTTGCATTAGTCCAACAGTTAACTTAGGCTACCAACCCAATGTTTTGTTGTTTGTCCCTGAAAAACATAGCGGGAGCATAAGAGGGCACAGATCAATGTTTCCACCCACCCACAGACCATCTGAGGGACCCTGAGCCTTTACCTGGGATCCTCAGGTTTGAGAGTAACTATTTTACTTGATGCAGGTGGCAAAATGCTTGCTAGAAATGGAAATTCACATGAAGAAGAATGAAACTCTCCTAATTCTTTTACTCCAACCCCTTCTCATTCTCACATTCTATTAGAAAGGATCAGTGAAAGCGTTCATAAATAAACCTTTTCGTACCTGTATTTTAAATGTACTCATGTTCCTAAGCCTTTGTGTTTGTTTTAACTGAGATCTAGTTAAGAAAGTCCCATTCTATCATTGCTTATAATCATATGGGGTAATTGAAGCAAAGTGCATGTTTTAAAAATGTTTTGAGAGTTCCAAAAGTTTAAAAAAAATGTTGCTACTTTAGCCCTGTGATGTTACTAGATACTGAGAGTGCAGATACCTGTGCTCCCCTTATGTCCATCTTGTCCCCTACTTCCTCTTCCTCCTCTCCCAAGCCCCCTCCCCTCCTCCCCTTCCCTGTCCTCTCCGGGTTAGGTTGTCATCAACGACTGCTTTCACCATTTCTCCAAAGCCCGGCCAATATGGGAGTGACAGGGGTCTCTCCTCAACCGTTGAGCTTCCACATTGAACACTGGCAAAATCAAGCCATTTTCTTCTCTGACGTGACGCTGCTCCATCTTACTCATTTGAAGGAAATGCTACATGGAAAAGAGCTTAGCCATTGGGTGAAAGGGACCCCCTTCCCTTTCCTGGCAGCCCCAGCCTGCCGCTCATCAATCCTCCCTCCTCACCTCACTCCCTCACCACCTGAGGTCTCAAACTGATTTCCCCTCTGGCATGGTGGTATATCATGGTTAAAATCGTTACATAATTTCACTGCCCTTTTCCCAGGGCCAGAGATAGGTCTGGTGACACTGGAGCTTTAGGGAAAAACTCATTTTCTTTTACTGTCAAGCATGCAAAACAGGGAGCAACTTGATTCACTGCTTTGCATCCAGCAAGTCTGTAATGACCCAGGGTTCACTCAGCTTCCAGGATGCTGGAGTGAGGAGGTTCACCAACTTTAGTGCATAGAAGACTCTACTAAAAAAGATTTTTACAGTGCAGATTCCTGGGCCTCACCTCCAGAGTCTGACTCGGTGGGCCTGGGGTTGACCCAGGAATGTGCATTTTAATTGGATCCTCATGTGACTTGATTCAGGCAGCCACTCACTACACTTGGAGAAATGCTGTTTTTAGTGGTTAATAGTTTTGGAATCACAAATCAGTGCAGTTCTGTGGCTTATCAGCTATGACCTTGGGCAAATTAATCTCTGGAAAACCAGGAAAACACAGTCTCCATCACACAGACTTACTGCTTGTGAACTGCTCCAAAATACCTGGTACATGGTAACACTCAAGCAGTGTTAGTTATGGCGATTTTGATGATATCCTGCTTTTCCCCCCAAAGCACTGAGTACCCAATGCCAATGTTCTCATTTTCTTTTAAGGGGAGGGGTTTCTATTTCAACATTTGGCATGGGGCCAGCTCTGCCTAGAAATTTTTCTCCTTATTCATTTTCTTGTCTACCTCTGTTTATCAGAGCAAGAGAGATTTTAGCTTTGCAGATCATGAGGTAGCAACATTCCCAGGCATCTTCCGTTCTGTTCCCACAACCCAGCGGACACTTTTTGATTTTAATCTCTTGTGGTGCGGCTGCTTCCCAGTAGTGAGTAACCGCCATTCCTAGGCATGGTTACAATAAAGCCTTCTTGGAAATTATTTCCATGCACCCCAGTTGAGCCAGAAGCAAAACACAGCAAATGAAGCCGTTGGTAGGCGTTTTGTTTCTAACATGCAACAGTAAGAGGACTGACTGATGGATGCCGATTGAACTCCAGCTCAGGTCACAGAGAATCACACAAAATGCGTCTTCTGCATGACTGTAATATAGCTTTCCCTACCTTCTCCCTCCCATCTCGTTCTTCATCACTGCCCCTGGTAACCCTTCTGCTACGGCTGATTTTTATCATAGATTAAAATTGCTAAGCAAACAGGCTTTGCTGCTCAGCTGTCACGAGGAAAGATGGAGTTGAAATCACGTTTCATGTTTTTCTTTTAATGTAGAAAAACTCATGCATGCATACCCACCCACACATTCCCACACCCTTCCCTGCATGAACACACACCCACATGCAGCACTGTCTCTCTCCTTCTCTGGGTTTGGGAGTGGATTGTGGCAGGGCATGTTCTGAATCTCTGGTGGAGTTCAGATGGTAAGTTCTGTCGACTGCTCACTTTGATTGTTAATATGACTAAAGGGTCACAAGATCCCTCCAGAGGCGCAGTCTGGGATTTGGATGGTTGTAGTCAATAAGGAAATTTCACTCTTGCCTTTTGCTTTCCCCACTCTGCCTGCCAATCCAGGTTCACCACCCCAAACCGAGTGCCAATCACATGTCACTTTTCAAGGGGGTCGCTGTCAGCCTGGGCAAGTTGAATTTTTGACAATGTAATTACGGCCCTTGCTTCCACAGTGGGAGTCTGAACAGGATGGTGGAGCTTTTATTGATTGTTCAGCAGGGAAATTTATCAATGTCTCTCACTTCATTTCTAGTTCCTCCCTGTGAAATTTGGCTGACAGTTTCTTAGGAGAAAAAGCAGTCTTATGGCCTTGAATGGACTTCGGTCTTTGTCCTTTTCAAGAAATTACAAGATACAGGCATGACATATAAATGGAAGTTTCTGAGAAAAGCTCATATGTGGGGGCATGGTTGAGGAAAACACTAGTGTAATTGTTATGAACAGAAGAATTTGGTAGGAATAAATAAAAAAAGGAGCCTAAGGAGGCAAGTTTAAATATAGCTTGTTATCCTTCTAAAAGTACTAAGTATCTGTATTCAAATTCCATGTTTTTTATAAGTACTGTGCATGGACACTATTATTGTAGTTGTTAAAGGGAGCCAGGCTGTCTTGAAGCACAGTGTTGTTTACGTGGAGTGGTCACGCATGTAGGGGGGTGTCCCTGGTCACTGGTTTCCGTACTGTGCTCCACAAAATCCAAATGTTTCCAGGGGGAGCTTCGGGGGTTCCACAAACAATGAAGTATTTGGGAGTCAAGCAATAAAGGTTTAAATTGCTCCAGTAATTGATTTATTGCTTTTATCTCTATTCTATATTTGTGTTCAACATAATATTTCATTAGAAGAAAGAGTTCTAGTGCTAAAACAGTGATTAAAAAACAACTCTACTAGCTCATCCTTTTAACTGCAGTATGTAAGATGCAGTGAAGAGTTCAGGGCCTCTCTTTGTACGATTCCTTATTTCCTCAGGAGTGGTGGAGCTTGGGGACATTTCCTGTTGTCTCTTCTTTGATGTGAGATGAAAATTTCCAGAGCCC